CTAAAAAATAAAAAAAAATTACTTAAAATATTTAAAAAATTCAGTAAAAAAAATACAAAAAATAAAAAAACTCAATTTTTTGTGTGAGTTAAACCAAAGAAGATGATTGTTATTTCTCTTGAAATGACATGAACAAAATATATGTATTATTTTATTATTTATATGTATAAAAGTTAAGGAACAAATATGTCATTTTAATCTGACAGGAGGTATGTGTAATTTTTCAAATGTGATAGGGGAATTTGTATTAAACAGAAATTTCAGGAGGTGTCAGTGTAATTTATCCCCCCCCCCTTTTGTTTTTATTGTGATTGAATTTGATAGTAGAGTATATTATATTTATGTTAGATATCTGAGAGACAATTGGGAATATATGCATTTCTGATTGGTGGAAAGTACCACTTGACACTGCCATGTGGTACCCTCCCAACATACAAAAATTTCTCTAAGAAAACCAATATGAGATGCGATATCAAAAGATTACAAAAATAATATGTAATTAAAATCTCTCAAGTTGGCCATCTAATTTGAGAAATATTTGGGCTTCATGAACTGCTTTTGGAACCAAAAATTTGAGAGAGTACTTAGGCTTGGTGAACTCATTTTGGAACCGACTTTGGTGATACAAATCATTCACTTTTTAAAATGTATTGGGTAGAATATTTATGCAAAAATATTAGATATCAGTAGTTATATGTTGAAATCACATTTATAAAAAATTAATCGATAATTATAATTTTAAAAATAATTATTCATTTTTTATAATACAAATGTGATTTAAACATATATCTATTAATATTCAATCATTTTAATTTTTTACATAAATATTTTAATTAACGATTAAAAAATAAACAATTCGAATTAACGGAATCGGTCCCAAAATAATCCATTCAAATAAGTTGTTGAAAAAACAACCTTGACTGTAACGCCCTAAAAAAAACAACATTAAACCCATCAATAAAGATATGCATTTATATGTAAAAGTTCCATATTCTCCTATTCTTCAGAGTTTCATTACAAAAGTATTACATGTTAACAACAAAAGCAAATGCCCTATGGGCTTACAGCTTTCCAAGTTAACACTTGGTTACAACAGAAGAGTACTAACTCATTTCACGTTAAGCCCTTGGCTTGAATTTACATGTAATACATCAAAAGTAAAACGACAAAAGTATGTCCGCCTCTAGCCTCCCAAGCTATGTCCATGGAGGTGGCATGCTACCTGTACCTGAAAATGATATTCCCATATAGGGTGAGCCACAGCCCAGTAGAAATACACTAAACCAACCATGAACAATGACTAAAAGATTAGCAATTGATAGATGGCCAACACTAATACATCCACATAAATCACAATTTTATGTCCTCCGACTTATGAGTCCAAGTTACTTTTCATTTTCCCTTTTTCAACAGATAAGCCTTACCGCCGCAGTTGTCCGGAGTGCATGACGTGTTTCATGTGAGTATGCTTCGGAAGTATGAGCCAGATCTATCGCATGTGTTGGATTGGACCGATTTAGAGGTAGATGAGGATGCCTCGTATGAGGAGAGACCGGTTCGGGTCTTGGATAGGCGGGATCAGGTCCTGCGTGGCAAGACCATTCCTTTGGTGAAAGTCTTGTGGAAACATCACGGAGTGGAGGAAGCCACTTGGGAACAGAGTGTATTTGAGATCCGCAGTTTTCTGGGATTAGCTGGGTATTACCGTCGGTTTGTGAAAGATTTCTCCAGGTTAGCGTCACCGTTGACTAGACTGACTCGGAAAGGAGTCAAGTTTGTGTGGAGTGAGACTTGTGAAAAGTCATTCCAAGAGCTGAAAGTTAGATTGAACACCGCTCCGGTGTTGATTATGGTAGTTGTTTATTATCTTGTTTACATCCTCTTTACTTCGTATTTGAGTTATAAGATGTGTTGGGCAGGTTTGTTACAAGTTGGTTGAGTTTAGAAACCAAAACTAGTTGCCCAGATTTTGGCCTGTACGCTCGAGCGGAGGTGTTGGCGCTCGAGCGGGGAATACATCCATCCAGTATCTTGTTGTGCAGTGTTGTGAGCTCGAGCGTAGGGTTGGGAGCTCGAGCGGAGTCCTGGTTCTGCAAAAGTGCTGGGCGAGGTCGTATAGAAGAGCTTACGTATTTATAAAATAGCCAGCGTCCGAAAGGCATTTTACTTTAGTACCGATGGGTAGGAGAGCTCGGAAGCTATCACAATGCAATATGGATGTTAAACCACCAGCTGAACAGCCTGAGATGATAGCCTGTTCTAACAGAGTTTTAGGAGTAATTAAGAACAATGATAATGATGATGAAGAGGGAGAAAGAGAGTATGCAACATAGATATGAACCACACTTACATTTGCAGCATTCTTCATTCCTTTTGCTAATAGATCCTCAATAACAGCGACAAAAATCCTTGCACCTCTGAAGTGAAGATTAGTGGCCTGATGAAAGTAAAAATACAATCATAAATCCAACAAAATGCAAATTTACAAGCGATGTAGGTACTAATCTCCTAATTTTGTTGTAATTGCTACTAATATAACTCACGGGATTGACTGCTTCGACATCGCCTGTAAATGATGACCCATCGCAGTACATAACCTTGATCCTATTCCAATTATAGAAGTCTGGGTATTGAAATAGAGTTAATTTTCTTAATTAGGAAAGAAGCTCGAAAACCTGTATCCTATAACTCAAATACGAAGTAAAGAGGATGCAAACAAGATAATAAACAACTACCAACATCCACGGACACATGTCCGGATCACTGTACAACAAGGGTAAACCCGGGATCGCTATATTGACGAAATCCAAACCCATATAATATATATACCATTTCTCTAAATTTATTTTTTGCAAATCGCTTTTTCCTGGTTTCTCTTTTCCTTATCCCCTTGTAATTCCATGATAGAAACGTAACCTGTGTGAAATTAAGGAAGAACCGAAGACATTGAGAGAAACCATGCAGGTCCGGCCCTGAGATTTCCGAAGCCCAAAGCCGACAATCAACTAATAAATTTTTAGGGCCCTTTACATTTAAAAAAAAAAAAATTAAAGGTAAAGGACAAAAAAATTATGTCAAAATCACAAAAAATACTTAGCATTACATTACAACAACTAATAAATATATTTTGATTCTCACTCTTCTTGCATTTTTAGAAGCAAATAAATCAATCATACTTGCATAATCTAATTTTTTTGCAAAATCATTTTCAATGGATAACAATGCTAATTATTTTAAATGGACCTTTCAATTTTTTAAATGAGTCAATTTATTTTTAATTAGTTTGGGCCTTCCTTAATTTTTTTTGGACTTAAAAAATAACTATTATATTACATTAAACTATAATAAGAGAGGCCCTTTTTTGGGTCTATTGTCAATGGATAATAAGGCTAATTTTTTTGAATGGACCTTTCAATTTTTGAATGGGTCAATTTTTTAAAGTTAGTTTGGACCTTCTTCAATTTTTTTTAGATTTAAAACATACCTAATATATTACAATAAATTATAATAGGAGAAGCCTTTTTTAGATTTATTTTGAGAGGCCCTAAACCATGGCCGGCCCTGAAACCATGGCGACCGAATTGCACATTACAATTTCATTATTATCAGAGAAAATTAGGTGTGAGCATGGTCCGGATTGGACCGGATTGGGATAAAATCAGGACCAATCCGTTATCAACGATTCCTAAAAAATTGGAACCAATCCAATCTGTTTAAATCATGGAACCAATCCGAACCAATCCATTTAAATACGGATTGGATCGGTTTAGGACCACAGATTCACATAATTAAATAAAAATATATATATATAACACTTTAATTTTATAAAAACATAAAGATAATGCTATATTAGTTCTACAATACCAACATGTTATTCTATAATAGCGACATATTGTTCTAGAATTTAAATAATCATAAGAAAACTAGTTTCACCATAAGTATTTAGACCATTACAAATTAAAACTAAAAACTAACAAACAAAAGTAATAAAAGAAGATATTATACGGGTTTTGTAACGCCCTCAAAATAATACACATAAACCCAACATTCATGATATACATAGACAAGAGAATAAAACACATTTCCATTCATCAGAGTATTCTTACAAAAAGTATTACATGTTGACAACAAAAGTAAATGCCTTGTAGACTTACAACTTTCCAAGTCAACACTTGGTTTCAACAAAATAAGAGTTCTAACTCTTTACACAAAAAGCCCTTGGCTTAAATTTACATGTATCACCAAAAATAACAGAATAAACAAAAGAGTCTTCAACTCCCAGAACCTTCATCCTTGGAGGTGGCATAACACCTGAACCTGAAAATGATGTCCCATACAGGGTGACCCAACGCCCAGTAGAGATATGCTAAACATAATATGAGCAATAACTAAAACACAGGCATTTGATAAATGTTTAACTCATATAAACAAACATATATCTCTTTCCATTTCATTATCCAAACCAATTCATAGATATGGTTCCTTATTCAGCCAAACAGTTCATGATGAGCCTACAACTCATACTAACAATACTTCAATGATTCAATTTCGAATGAGACTATAACTCACATAATTAACACATCAACACTTCCATTTCAAATGAGATTACAACTCAAATCATCATCATTCAGATACTTCAATCATCTACGCTATACAAACGTAATTCAAATTTCGGAACTTTCACCACGGACACTCTGGCCAACTTAGTTATAACTGGAGTCCGTCCCCTATCTCCTCCCAAATCCGGTTTAGGAGTCCATCCCCTATCTTCTCCCAAGCAACATACATATACAATGTATTTAAACACTTATCATATACGCACTGGAAAGGTAGATCTCGCAAACGCACCCTGAGACTGCTGAGGGTTAGAACCCCT